TTGCCATTTAAAGCTCTGAATGGCACTGCAACTGCTATGGACAGGCGGGTAGCTTACCATCAGGCGCGCGACTTGTTCGTCCCGTCACTTGATATTATATAAAAAATAAAATTTTAATCTATTCTGTAAAATGTTTGATTATACAAGGTAAGTACTATTTATACCATTGTTTATTATCCAATCGTATAACTGTGATAAACTAGTGCCACCTATATATACAGGCATAAATGGGACAAGTAGAAGTACAGTAGGTGTAAATTAAGAAGTATATTTGTTAGTATTTTACCAGTAACCCTGTGTAGATAATTAAGATGAAGTCGTAATAACTTTAGCAATTAAAAAAAGTGTAAGTGGAAGTACTTACATTATTGCCTCCAACAACTTCATCATATTCAACTCCAGGCACGAAGTGCTCCTCCTGGGTGCTATTATCAGACTTTGTAGTATACAAGGTGTAACCATCGCCTGATTTGACGAGTTTGTATATTGGTTTATCGGCAATTAGGGCTTGTTTGTATTGTTCGTTGACATCTGTAAAAAGACGATTACGATACCGATGGGCAAAGACATTCTGCCCTCCATATCACAACTAACGTGATCGACATTTGCAACGAAATTGAGTTACTGGGATCAGCGAAACGAGATCTACAGCCCCCTCTAATCTCATCTATTTGAATATACTCTAATCTCATTTAGTATCAGTTTTATTGTTAAAAAAATCGTAATTGACATTTTTAGGTGACAAAGCTTGTCACTGCCACGATTCGCGTAACCATACTTTCGACGATCATCACCGTACTGAACGTATTTTATAAACTAGGTAAGCAACATGGATCGTAAAAAGAGTGTTGCACCGCAGTTATTGATAAGAAAGTAAAGGGAAAAAAAGACAAAGAAGATTAACATCGCAGGAATGCGCGATGCGGAACAATTCGCACATTCTTGCGATGAGTCGTGTGAGCTTGTAGATTTCTGAAATGCGATGTCGCATCGCAGTTTTGTGTTTCGACTCTAAAAGTTAAGGTGCCAAAATCTCGAAAGTTACCTACTACATTGCAAATGCGTTAGAGTAGTTACACACGGCGACTTATAGCAGCGATGCAAACGCGCGTTCGTGAAACGTATCGATACTGATTTTTTGTACATAATTAGTCAACATAAGCGACTGCATGGATGCAATCGCGCGATTTCAATCGCTACACTTGTGATTTATAGGCGATTGCATCTGTTTTGTTACTTGTAAATTCAAAAGTAAAATTTATAAAGACATTAAATAAATAAATTTGTTGAGGTAAAGCCCACTCTTAATTAAAGTTAACAGTGTAATCACGTTACAATATAGTTACCCACTTCCAGCGTTAATAGCGTTGATAAAGGTGTCGTAGTTCTCCTGCCTGTCTAGTTTGAATTCTTTGCCAAAATAAGCCATTTTGCCCAAACCGACCGTTGATCACAGATTAAAAAAGTAAAGTGCTACAGGTTTAAAAGAAACATTTAATACTGGTTTATTCCTGAAGATAAAGATGGATAATCTGTTACAGTTTTATTACATACAATATCAGTTTTATTTATTACTATCAAGAAAAGTCCAACGTCTTGCCAAATTTATAATGCTGGGTAATAATAACTTACGGCAAACGGCGTTTGTTTTACATTTTTTGCACTCGTTATCGTCTTATCCTTGCTGTAATAGGGTCATATCAGCAATATGACAGCTTTTTAGGAATGAGGTTTAAAGTAGTAAAAAAAATTTGTAGATAAACTTTTTATACTTTAATAATACATATTTTTAATTTTAATTTAATGCATTGCATTTTGTATTGTTTTATTTTAATTCCAGTTTTGTGACTCGTATAGGTAACTATGCTGTAATATTGGCGAGAACAAATATTTTGAATTTGAATATATGCTTATAAAGGAGAGTTATAAAATTTCACATAAGTAATATACGCTTCGTATTATTTTTATGACTCCCATGTGATAAAAGCACTTTTGACGTATGGTCACATGTGGCTTTATTAAATGTATACAATGTGTTTTTTTAATGGGACGGTATGAAAAATCCATGAGAGATATAGGGAAAGTGTCTTAAGAGCCATTAAATCTTTTTTATGAAAACAGTTTTGGCATAGTAAATTTTTTTGTCTAGCGTGAGTTGTTCATAAAAATGAATAAAATTGATTTTTTAGTGCTGATCCACTCAATTTCATGTGAAGATTATTTTACTTAACTACTTAGTTAACTACGATGAGACTGAAAATCTACTAAAAGTCGTCAAATAACCTCACACTTCCACACTCACAAACACACACGCACACACACAGACACACAAGCACTCACACACTCAGGCACACACTCACTCACTCACTCACGCACTCAGACACACTCACTTACTCATTCGCACGCATAGTTTGTTGTACTTATTTTTTACTTCCTCCTCAGTACTTTATATTTCGACATTACTACTAACATGACTATCCTAGGGGTTGGGTGCCTGGAGACCCATATTACAAGCTCTGCTTAGTTTGGGCTCCAGTCTCCCACAATACATTACTCTAAGCTTACGTAATAATGTATGTTTACTGTAATTGTAACGTTTCTTTGTATTGTGTTGTGGAGATAAATAAAGATATTTATTATTATTATTATATTATTGTATTGGAAAAAAAATTGGGACAGCAGAAGTTGGTCAAATTTAATAAAATATCTCTTTTAAATGAAAATTTTCACTAAATTCCTTTTAATGCTGATGAATTCAGTTTCTTATAAGGATAATTTCATTGTATTGGACTTTTTCTACATATACAATAAAATTATCCTTACATAAAAGTAAAAAAGTAAAAGTTTCACTTCCTATAACTGGTCCTACAGGGCCGAGCAAGGGCCTCCAGCGCTCACATTGCAAACCGTAGGGCCACCGAGTTCGTTTATATCTATGGGTACTTACATTCTTGCCTCCAATAACTTCATCATATTTAACTGCTCTATCTATCTATCTATCCTCTATATTTGTGCAACACCAAGTGTAACCATCGCCTGATTTGATGAGTTTGATAGTGGGTATAACAGCAATTAGGGCTTGTCTGTATTGTTCGTCTTCAACTGTAAGGAAGATTACAATACTGATGGGCAAAAATTTTCTCCATAAATATGAACCTGTACTAAAAATTTATTATTTATAAAATTATACGAACAAATAAAACATTTACGTAATAATTCCTTTGGAATGTCTGTTACTGTTCCTAAGACTGTTGTGTTGTGTGTTGGGGCTATTTGGCACATTATTATTATTAAAAAGAAATTTAACTAAAAAAAACAAAACTAAAACCAAATACAAAGACACGACAACAAGTACATAGAAAAATTAGTGAGGTTTTCAGTTATTCTAGGCAGTTAAGAAAAATTTCGAGATTTAAAAAATAATGTTATGATTATAATTTGGTTTTACTTAATTCTTATTTGTAGACTAATTTGTTAGTTTCCTTAACTACCTAGAATAACTGATGACTAGATATGTCCCTACAAAATGTACGGTAAAACGTTTTTTGCGATTTCTGACATTTCGAGTTGGTCCCATAGAGACTCCTTACCAGAGACCGGGTCGAATGGCATAAAAAAAGTTTTGTATAAATTGCCTTTTATCTTGCTGACTGTACCATTTTTTCACATCTGTGAATGCCAATCAATATATCTTCAAAATTCGTGGATAGTCTTCTAGAACCATTTTCCTGTAACTACAACGATTAAGGTAGCTGGCCTTGCCCCGTCTCAAATTTACACCCTGTATAATATCAGTGTATAATGCTTCAAATGTATTTATTTTTAAGAAGTCCTTCTTTTTTAACCGACTTCAAAAAAGGAGGAGATTCTCAATCCGTCTGTATTTTTTCTTTTTTTTGTGTATGTATGTTACGCGATAACTCTGGCGTTTGTGAAGCGATTTTGGCGAGTCTTTTTTTGTTGCATAGAGGGTGGTCCCATTTAAATTAGAAGAAAATATTCCACCTCTAAGGACAGAACTAGAGAATGAATACGGTTTCGCGCACTTTCCGGTAACCGATTTCAATAAAACTTGGCAAAAAGATGTAATTCCACGTACTTTTAAAGTCGGTTTTTTTAATTTTACGTACTGATTATAAAAAGAAGTGCACATTTACCCTACATCTCACCCGATGGAAATTGACGGTCGACTATGGAGCACGCACACCTAAATAACGCCTGATCGCTCTCGCCTTGAAAAGTCCCAGTTATATAGCGTTCAGGAACTAAGTCTGCAGGCAGTAAGGGAATTCTACTCCATAGCCGTTTACCATATAAATGTGGAAGAGTAACGATTCGTGCTAATATCGGAATATCCACCACAAAAGGATGAAACCTCAGCCTACGTCTAATCCCCACGTGGTAGAAAGGAGAAGGCAGAATTTAAATGAGCAATTCAATCGCACACTTTCCCTGATATATATATATATCCTGTAAAATACCGATATGTAGGCAACTTTACGGCAGTGTTCAAGGGTGTATAGTGTCGCCTCTACTAAAGCGTCTATTATACTATCTAATTTCAAAGGATACTTACTCTAATTTAGGGAGATATAATAAGAGCTTCCCGATCTGCTGTGTCTACCAGCTCGGGCAGTAACTAACCTTTAGGGCAGTTAGGGAGATCAATCGACGCGCGTGTTCATTACACGGAAATCAGTCGTATCGTTTCGTCCATCAGGTTCGTGCAGCCATTTTGTCTTGCTATCACCATATTGTGCAGAAAAGAAGTAGAAGTTTTGTTGTGCCCAATTGACATGCCCTATTCATGGAAGGAAGATCACGAAAACTAAGTTTTTCTTTTTATAACATCAAGTGACGGGACGAACAATTCGTGCGCCTGATGGTAAGCTACACGCCTGTCCATAACAGTTGCAGTGCTACTCAGAGCTTTAAATCGCAAAGATCTGAATGGCACTTCCACTGCACCTGTCACCCTAAGACATAAGTTGATAAACCGGGGTCGTTGGCAGTGCCGCGCGGCCGGACTAATCTGAGCCAGAAGGCCCCGCTCACTCGAGCTTTGCAAATCCTAAATGATGTTGCAGACAGAACGGACTTATTTTCATGTACTCTGTGTGAATTCACAAGGGTAACACTATACGTTATTTGCTATGTACATGTTTCGTTGTAATTTTAGCGAGCAGTTGATTTTTTTATTATGGATTTAATATAAGATATGAATTTGTACACTATCGCATTGGTTATGACTGTAATGGTAGATGTAAAGTTTTAAATAATAAATTCCTGTTATTTGACCGGAACGCAGTAATGCTGACATTACTGATTGGCTGCAGAAATATGTAAACAGGCAGTAATTCCCTGGATGAACTCTTCCACGAGGAAGCTACTAAGTACTACTGCTACTAAGTATATGAAGAAGGATATACCGGTCGAGGGCTTTAATTTGTGACTAGAAATTAACGAAAAATTCGACGAAAAAACAACAACAAATACAAGCCACTATGGTGCGAGTTGTAGAACGTAGAACGTTCTCGACGATCGCGTTCAGAATGAATTTAGGGTCTGGTTGGCAGAGTACAGTAATAAGCGGCTCACTAACAAGGGGCCACGCCCTCCCTTAAAGCAGGGCTCTAGAAATTGGGTCACTACCCAAAAAAATCTACTTGGATTAAATTGAAAAGTGCCGTTTAACCGATGATTAGAGTATGAAAAACTCTACATAACATAAAGCCTGTTATTTATAAACTAATAAATATTATCATTCACGCTTTGATAATGATAAGGAAAACCCCAAAATGCGATAACGTTACAAAGGAACTGTGGAAATTAACAACACATTTGTTTTCGTCCATTTTATGCACATTTTGTTTTTTCAAACAATTCGTCCTTCACTAAGGTACTCACCACACTAATGGACGTAGAATCTTCTTGAGGAGCTCAGAAAAACACGTGCCCAGCAGTGGTAATTCGATAGCAGTGGGACGTCGAAACATCTAGTTTGGTTTACTTCAGCTTCTTTCACAATTAAAAAAAACATAGCAAAATGTCATATGTCATTATATGGCATTTTGCTTTGGAGTAATGCCGCCGATATTAATAGAATTTTTGTCCTTCAGGAACGTGCGGTTAGGGCAATTTACAATCTGGGCCCCAGAGTGTCTTTGAGAGATAAGTTTTAAGACATTAACATTATTACACTAACGTCACAGTACATTTATGAAAATGTTATATATGTTAAGAACAATATTAATTTTATTATGAAAAATAGTGACAGACATAACATTAATACGAAATAAACTAGCTGTTCTTGACAGTCGTCTTCACGAAGTCTCAAATTCATTTAAGGAGCAATGTATACGCCTCTATAAGAAAATTACGATTGATATTCAAAATTTGCCATTTACGAGGTTTAAGACTATAGTGAAACAAAAACTTTATACCTACTAAAGGTTTTATACTGCTTATACGTACCTACTTGTATGACAAAAATTCGGGGTAGTGACTCGTTTAGCTCTTCTTCAATCTGCCTTACTAATGAGCAGTAGAGTTTCATCAGTATGACGACTTCAAGTGTAATTTGCTTACCTATGAAATAAAGGTTATTTGACTTTAACTTTGATAGGCTCAGCTGTTTAAATCTATTTAATTTTGGAATGTCACGTGCAAAGAACACCGGTCTATGAGCCTTCCCGCACGACATACTATTCCTTTCCTGTATGTACGTCTGGCGCACCCTGGGCAACAGTCAGCGAGTACCCTATGGCGATTGGCAAATTCGTTTACCAAGATGGTACTCATTATAGTATATGCCATCAATACGATAAGAAGTAGTAGACCGCTGCAGCTCCAGGTTGACATTTTGTATTGGATCGTTCTTATAATTTAATTTTAAATGTGAAGCTTGACATGTTCTTGACCTTGAACTCTGTAGAAAGAAACCAAATTATTAAATATGATTTGTTAAATATTTCAATTAAAGAATATTCACAAAAAGATTTTATTCCAATTGGTGAACCATTAACTGATTCACTATTCCGTCTTTAAAATTTAACATTTTAAGTTAAAATTTCAAAAATTCTTACGTCTGTGTTGTTGTTTTTTTATTGTCTTTATTTTTTCTTTTTTTTTTATTAGAAAGTAAGTGCGCATTTGACCTCCATCTCACCTAATGGAAAGTCACGATGAGGTCGACACTGGAGCATGCACACCTAAATAATGCCTATTCACTCTCGCCTTGAAAAGGTCCAAATTATAACGTTCAGGGAACAAGTCTGCAGGCAGGAAATTCCACTCCATTGTCGTTTGTCATATAAATGTGGAAGCATAACACTTCGTGAGAAAGTTTGGAATATCCACAACATAGGGTGGAACCCAAGCCTACGTCTAGTTAATGCCCCTTGCACACTCTACATATTGAGGGACAAGCGGTTACACACTTACAAAAAATACATATTTAAAATAGTGTTATTCAAAAGCAGTTTTTTTTTTTTTTTTATTAGAAACTTCCATTTAATTTCACAGTTACACATTTAAAAAAAAAACATGCAAAATATATGAAATTATAATTTTTGTCAAACCGTAGTTTCGGTATCAGTTTAAAATGTTTCAATATCTCACGACGTAATAATCGCCTGATACCCTATACAGTAAACAGCCAATGCACAGTAAGAATATAATTCATATAATATATATAACTCACAGAATACAACACTCTAAATGTGTTTGTATAAGTGTATCTAGACAGATAAGAAGCCCCAAAGTCGAAATTTGTAGTAAGATTAGACGGTATTGTAACAGTCACTACTGATAAGAACAATTTGTATCGAGATTACAGTGAAATGGAGCCAGCTCACACGCCTGATGACGCGTGTGTTATGAATCACGAGCTAAGCTATCTAGCGGAACGGGCTGCTGGAAAACATGCACCACCTGTACGCCGAGTAAGTGTTTTAATGTGTAACGATGCGATCTCTTTCATCGTAATTCCACCTTTGTCTCACCCTTTTCTCTGGTTCCAGGCCACCTACTTTTAAAATTGTGAATTGTTCTTAATTTCCCTTTCTTCGTCACTCTTACTTTCTTCTTTCCACTCTCTACTAAATTCCCGAAGCGAGTACACGTGCTCGACTTTACATAACATTCTGACCAGTTATAACATTGTGTATATTGAAAATCATGTAACCGAACGTCTTGTAAAGTACAATATTTGTAGTACCATTGAAAATTCTGTAACCTAACTGCTTATAAAGCATAGCATTTATAGAAAATACAGGCCCTTTTGCGGTCAGTTACTTTTTTACCTGTTAACCTGTATCTAATTTAAGTAGGGTGTGTTTTTATACGATTGTACCTGGTTTGTATCTTAAGAAAACTAATATATATAACTTAACTAATATAATAACTCCTACAACTAACCTAACCGCCGCGGAATCTCATGATTGGACCACGAATTGCTTCGAAACATGTCGAGCAAAAATTTGACTTAAATACGTGAGTTATCGGTTATTTTAGTTGACATGTCAGAGTTTCACGGTAGTTGTCTATTTAAAACTGGTTTGTATCGTTTTGTTTTGTTACAGCCTTTACGCTTTTCCTTTGTCTGTTCTTTTCCCGTCCTGTATCTTCTCTTTCTTATTTCTACAATAAAATTCTTATTAGACCGAGCCTTCTATTTAATTACAGTAATTAATAATCATGCTTCATGAAGCTTCATTCGTGTATTTGCTGAATCACAGTACATTATAATAAGTTTATGACATAGGTAATCCTAAAGAAAAAGGCTAGTCTAGGTTTACGGGTATGGTCTGGAGTGTTATATTGTGTTAGGTGTAGAGTTCAGTATACTGTGTCAGCAAAAAGGACCTGACTCAGCATTACGCCGCAGTTCAGTGGATCTACGCCGCTGATGATTTTGCCAGGTCCTCAGGTGAGCCGGCAAAAAAAGAAATAATTCAGAATAGAGAATCAACACGGAGTTGGAATGTAAGGTATGTAGTTATAATATTAACTATATATGTGAATAAGTTATTTGTATAAGCTATAAAACTTGGACAAGGAACGGGAAAGAAAATAAAACAGGTGGAAGACTTTACATTGTCTTTTGGTTTGGTATTACTTATTTGACAGTAATTGTTTCGAACGGATGTCTGACTGCGAACGAGAGTAGACCGCCAGAACCTATTTAGAAAAGTTAATTTACCAAATTGGTCCTACCGGGAATCGAACCCGGGGTCTCCGGAACCAGTGTCCACAGTGCAAACCGTTGGGCCACCGAGGTCGTCGAACTTTCCCTCTTCAACACAACAACACGGAGGCTCTCCTCAGTTTTTCCCGTCTAAACTTAAAAGCAACCGACTGTATTCTTCTCTAGCAGTGGTATCTAGCGACGTAATTGGTAACCACGAAATTGTTGAAGAGGAAAAGTTAGTCAAATTTTACGAAATTTAAGTTTGTAAAATTTAGCTTGACTGGTATGACAGATCGGCAAAATTACGATGACATTATAATTATTTTTTCGTAATTACGGTACTACTCCAATCATATGACAGCTGAAATCTATAAATCATTGAATAATCTCTTTTCGAATTAAATATTATGCTAACATATTATTAATGTTTATTTGCACAACTTCATACAATGAACTTACATCCGACGAAAAAAGTTTGTAATGGGACGCGTAAAAACTATTGTATAAAGTCGATTAACTCATCCAGTAGGTACAGAAATAATTTGGCGGTGATTTTCTAAATTTGAATGACCTTTGTTGTTTTGTAAATTGTGCATGTTCTTTTGTGTTACGCTGTGTTATTTTGGTTAAATTGTGTATTTTTCGTGAATTTTTGTCCAATGTTTACACTATACTATTATTTAGATGTATTTGGACACATTTTATGGACATTCAACTGAAAATTAACAAATAGAAGTGTCGCGTATATTCGACATTACCCGTGGATCGAATAGTAGGTATAAATTAATGAATTGATTTCAGTTACTATCGTGATATAGTAGTTCAATCGATATATTTTAACATCGATTCTTAATTTAACTAATCGTGTCCCATCACTACTTCATGAAATTTGACATGTGCTAATTGTCCATTCCTTAATCAAACAAAACTAAATACCTAGCGATAATCGACAAGAAAAAAATGTCGGGTTTTTGTAGTTACAGTCTTATATTAATTAATTTTTAGATTAAGCATTATTACATTTTGAGTTCCTCAATTATTTGTTACCTTTTTAAGCTGATAGCCAAAGCTCAATAAATAATAATAATAATAATACCTTGCTGCTGCCTAAACGCTGGCGTTCTTGATCAAAATTAACCGGCAACATACATCGAAACTGACACTGGCCCAAGGCAAAAAAAAAAAATTACGGAGTATGAAATGCCAATGAATTGTCTTTTAAACCATGTACGACAAATTGCAACTTATGACTTTAACATTAAAAAATAAAAACAAAAATAAAACTTCTTAAATAATAAAAACACTTACAATAACACACACATACCACAATAAGGCAGCCGGATATGGTATATTATTTGAAACCTCGTAACTCCGTTTCAAACCTACCTACAAAAAGTAATTGGTTCAAACGCAATATGGGGCAATTAAAGCTTAAAATGCAATTTGTATGCCTTTTTTAGTTATGAAATAAAGGTAAAACTATAGATTGTCATATAATTGTGTCTAATAATTTTGTTTTTTGTATCTACTCAAAACCCTAAACACTAATGGAGATTACGTGGTTTACGAATTTAGTCTGTAAAAAGTAGTAAAAAATAAAACATCATTTTAGGCCTCTACGTTGTTATACTTATAATACAAAGTAATAACATGTGAGTACAAGTTTAAGCTTTGAAGTATCTGACAGCTGTCCCTTCCCACTTAGTACAGGTGTAGGTCTGAAAAGAATAGAAACACATTTTTGTCTTAGTACAATAATGATCTGTAGTCTACAACTGAGAGAGACACTGAGATAAACTGGGATAAACAGTTTAGGGTTTTCTTTGTTTGAAAATGACTGGAAATGTAAAAAAGATTGTGTTCACTTTTTATCTACATAACGTCGAAGGGTTGTTGTGAAAATCATAAATATATTTTTTTTAATATTAGACAACATCACACACTTTGCTCTGATCCCAAAGTCAGTAACTAAAGCACTTGTGTTGTGTAAATCGGAAACAACGACGGTACCGTAAACACCCAGATCCGCCACAATATAAAAAAATAAGTTTCTACATTGACCCGGTTGGGGATCGTCTACGGGACTTCAGGGATGGCGACACCATGAAAATCCGTGTGCTATTCCTTGTCAGTAGCTTCGCAAAGTAATCAGAAACTTAAAACGAATGCTGTCTTTAATTGATTACCTACCAGTATTTGAGAACTGTTACAAAACAAACAATTAAGAAATATAGCGATATCGATGATAGGTACGTACAATAACAAGTTCATTGTCTTTGAACTCCTTTTTAATCGTGATATTGCCTTCCGGAAACTTCGTGACTTTAGTGAAGACATTGCCGTCCACGGTAGTCGTATGTTTGGCCTGCAAAGATGTGATTACTACCATAAATAGTCAATCTGTGTCAATGACATAAACCAATAAAATACCAAACCAGTGTTATATTTCTTTGGTCCAGTAAGCCACCTCTATGCCCCTATATGTTGCCTTTAGCAGGTCTTCGGGGATGCAACTGGCCGGATACAGTGGGCACGGGCTAGTGAGACATAACTTTGTGTGGGGGACCCGCAAGCGCAATGGTTCTGAGTCGGGTTGATATATCCCCATTTCACCATGTTGTCTCGAGGGGAAGCCTTTCGACTAGGGTGATAAAATCAGGAGCAGCGAATTTGGCCTGAAAAAGTTTGCGCCTCGCGTTTGTTGGGCTACCTTCTATAACGGTGGTATGTCGAAGGAAGCTCTTACGGCTTGATAGTCGTGCTGGTGGGAGCTTGTGGCTGAAAGGATGCCGACTATAGTGCCTAAGTCCATATTAATTACGTACATCTTACACAAAACCATGGAAATAATAATGCACTTTTAATAGCTGTAGAGTTCCTTGTGTTATAGTTCACCATTTCGTATAATTAATTTTTATTAATTATGAAGCGTTTTAATCACCAGCATGCATGTAATTAGTAGAGTTTTTGATTATTTCTTTGTACATTTATTGGCTGGCGTCTTTGGCAAATGAAATCCAGCCAATAACGCATTGATTAATAAGGGTAGGGAGGAAAAATATGGGTAATTTTCAGGTTAGTTGCGAGTGTTTTATCCTGTATTATTATTTAATATTTCACGATAATATTCTCGAATACTTAAATAATAGAAATTGCCATCTATAGTCTGTCTTTTTTTAAGACGGAGTAAAATGACATTTCATTGCGCAATGATTAAAGAAATTACGACAAAATAAATTAGGTAGAGAGAATTAACCTGAAAATAACCCATCTCTTGTTTTAAATTAATTAGTAGAGGTTTTGGTTCTTTGTACACTATTGGCTAGCGTCTTGACTAATGAAACCCAGCCAATACGGCGTTACTTAATAAATTCAGAAATGAGTTAGAAGATATGAGAAAGTTAGTTAAGTTGATCAGTTAGTCGTAGAGTAAAGATAAATTCTGAACATTTTTATACAGAAGAATTTTTATATAGCTAAAATAATTATTTAGTATAACGCTCAAAGTGGAGTTATTTTCAAACATAAAAGTTCACAAAGAATCCGTATGTTTTAAATTATGCTCTAAAACTCTATGAGTTTTTTTAAATGATACCAAGGGACAGGACGAACAAGTCGTGCACCTGATGGTAAACGACACGCCAGTCAATAGCAGTAGCAGTGCCACTCAAAACGTTAAATCTTTGGGTTTAAAATTTTCCGAAAAACTTCAAATAGTGGAAATTTTTCCCGAAAAAATCTCGAAAAATTGGAAAAATATATTTTCTTAGGCTTATATTATGTTCTACTTTTAGACATACCTTTTGAAGTTTTATTTAGCGTGAATTATAAAATAAACTTACATAAAGCTAAAAGCCACCTAAACAATAACGAGATTTAAAATGATTTCACAACAGTAAAAAAAATTTTTTTTTAATGGCTCCATCGTTTTCGTTCAGTAACTTCTACTTTTGACAGGTGTCAACGTCAACTGTGGAAAATTAAAGGAAAAATATTGAAAAAATATTCGGAATTTTATTCTTTTTACGAAAAATATGAATTTTTCAAAATGGACAATTTTCCGTGACCCTACACTACACTGTTTGAGGAGCACTGCCACTTCGCCCGTCATCATGAGACATAAGTTAAATCTTATAGACTTCATTTAGTACTTCCCTAGACGAACTCTTTAATTGGTCCTACAGGGAATCGAGCAAGGGCCTCCAGCGCTCAAATTGCAAATCGTAGGGCCACCGAGTTCATTTATATCTATGGGTACTTACATTCTTGCCTCCAATAACTTCATCATATTCAACTCCAGGTACGAAGCGTTCCTCGTGGGTGCTTTTATCAGCCTTTGTACAACACCAAGCGTAACCATCGCCTGATTTGATGAGTTTCATGGTGGGTTTATCGGCAATTAGGGCTTGTCTATATTGTTCGTCGGCAACTGTAACGAAGATTACAATACTGATGGGCAAAGATTTTCTCCGTAAATGTGAACCCGTACTAAAAATTATACGAACGAATAAAAGATTTACGTAATAATTCCTTTCGGATGAGGATGTCCCGGCTCGTTTCCCGGAAGGATCAATTTGGGATGTCTGTGACTGTTCCTAAGACAATTGTTGGGGCTATTTGGCACATTATTATTATTATTATTATTAAAAAGAAGAAAATTAAATTCAAAGAAGGATGGCGAAAGCTGATGCAAAATCAACGAAGTGCCGTTCATGGATTTTGCTAGCATAATTTTACGTTTTTGTTTATGCCTAGCTATTAATATATTTTTGTATATTTTTAGAAGTCGGAAATAAAGAAATTGCAAAACAATGTATTTTAGAATAGATGCAAGAACACAAAGTAATTGATTCAATTCGACCATAGATTAGGTAACGTTTTTGTACGTACGTTTCATTTTAAGCATGATTGAATGTTTACCTACCCAAAGTATTGGTTATTTTATAGTACACACATAAAACGTTAAAGCTATAAAATATCTAATCAAATAATCAAGTAAACAATACTGACACAAAGTAAAAATTAAAACACAATATGACAAAAATGTTTAGACAATAATTTAAATGAGAAAGACGAAAGAAACGTTTCGACAAGAGGCCTCTTGCCAATGTCAATGTTACTTTGAGATTGAAAACAGTGGAACCATTTGTGGCAGATTTCTGCCATTTGGGCAGATTTAATTTTTATACATTTTCGTTGCGACAGAACATGTTAACTATTATTATTTAATTTTATTTAATATAATTTAATAGTTAATTATTACGTTAAATGTGGCAGAGTTTGGAAGATTTAGGAATATTCCCAAGTTCTTTATTATTTTTAGGAACAAACTGAAAACTTGTTGTTTTTTGCTACTATTAACATACATCTGAAACGAAAAACAGGAGAATGTTACAAACATAACCTGTATCAACTTTATAGCCCCAGCATCTATAGGCTGCACAGCTTTTTTGATGCTTTGATAATGAATCACAACTATTGATAGGTATCTTTAATGCACGTCGTCAAAAACACTAGGTCAGAAAGTACACGGGATGTCGCATCCTTCTTTAGAATCAGAATTCCGCGCATCACACATTCTATCCATTTTTATAAATCGATAAAACAGCTGAGATAAGGAAGTCATGGGCAGTAAAACAAGTTGTTGTAAATTTCCAAAACTCTAAGAACAAACGTTGTTTTTTTACCCCATGAATGGAGATTTCGCTTTAATTAAAATTAACTATACGTATATTGACAGTCTTACGTTACGACATAGTTACCTACCTCCATCGTAAACAAAATTGACGAAGCCATCGTAGTTCTCTTGCCTGTCTAGTTTGAATTCCTTGCCAAAATAAGCCATTTTCCGCAGACTCGACTGTTGATCACAATTTCAAAAACTAAAATGATAGTAAGAATTTAAATATTAGTATATCAATGAAGATAAATATTTGTTATCTGATATAGTTTCATTTACTATCAAGCAAGCGTTTGTTTTGTTAGTATTTCACGAAAAATAGACAAGTGTCGGAGACACCAGCCTGTTACACCATACTATACCATCATTTATTATAACAAAAAAATCCCACTGTCTTGTCAAATTCATAATGCTGGGTAATATAAATTACCACAAACCAGGGATCGAGGTGATAATTATCAATGATAATGATATTTTATGGAATCACGATAATGTCATAGGGGTGCACAAAAGGAGCCTCCCCGCAATGAAACACGAATAGTCGAATCGTTTTCCTAGTACCTATGGTGCACCTTGAGGAATAATCGGCGAGTGCCTTACGGCGGTTGGCAGATACTTTCACCACGTTGGTAAACATGTCCAATGCACAGTTCAGCGTGGCGGCTACTTGTGGCCATACAAATTGTTGTACATTAGTGGCACAAATGAACAACATGTATGTGTCTCTGGTCCGCTTTTAACTGACACAATTGTCTAAATCCATAAATTACAAATAATATAATTTGACCACAGAAGAGTTCACTCGTCTGTAAATTTGAGAGAATAGCAAAACGGTCAGTTCAATTTAGGTTACCGGAATTGACTTGTTTCGTTAAATTTCATGGTAAAGCCCCGGTACACTCTAGAAACCAAATTATTGAATTGATATTTTAATATAGGTGAATATTTAAAAATATAAATTTAGTTAACATCAAATAATTCAAACATCAAATTAAATAAAAAAGATTTTATTACAGTTGGTGAACCGTTAACCAGTTCAATATTTCGTACACGAAGGATTTCAAACAAGACATAACAACAATTATATTTCTTATTTGCGTTACTACTCATTGAAATCCACAAATCATTAATAAATTACGATTCAAATTAATTACCCTAAAATATTATTAATGAGACTTGTAAAAAAATACTAAAAGCAAAAAAACTACATAGTCAATTGACTTTTCCATTTGAGAAATGGTTTGGCGGTAATTTTTAAATGTTACGTGAATTATTCTGAGCTACGTTGTATTATTTTCGGTTAAATCGATTCACTTTTCGTGAATTTTTGTCCAATATATACCATTATACAAATAATAGTATCTAGGTATGTTCGTTACGTTTTATGGAAATTAAACTGAAAATTAACAAATAATTTTGTCACATCTTTTCGACATTATACGTATAGTTGGCCTTAGTGTAAGTTGATTTCAGTTATTATCGTGATATAATAACACTGCTGATTAAAATATATTTTAGTTCAATATATGTATTGTATTGTAACACCGATTCTCGATTTCACTGATCGTGGTTGTGAAACACCACGAATTTAAATATATATGCAAAAACAATATTATTATGTGCAAAAACGGTGAGTATTCAATTTATCGGCTATTCTATAATTTATCTTGCATTGCATTGGAAAAGTAAATAATAAAGACACCTCATCAATGAGGTACTTGGATAAGGTATATATTGTGTATGTACGTGCTTACCACTAATAAGTCTAAGCGTCTTTGAAGTTTTCTGGAACGGGACGGACACCACAAACCACTAATAAAAACAGAGAAGTTTATCAAGACAGACCACCAACCGCCACCAATGCGCCACCTATGCAGCACAGAACGCTACACTCACAAGGAGGTCACCAGTGAGTCACCGTGGTCACAAACCACTAATTGACCGTGATAATGTTCGCTTAACTGTCAGTGCGGCTTTTCGTTCTAAAATTTTAACTTTTTGAAGGATTTGTATAAACGGATTTTAGTCGAAATAACAATGTGACTTTTCGTTCTAAAGTTTTAACTATTAAATAATTAATTACATTTTATTTATATCATACAGTCTACATTTTATCGTAATTAAACATTAAGTTCCGTTCTAAAATATATTAAGTATTACCACTTTATTAATTTGTATGGCTATGATGATTTTGTGGATGTACTATTGAATTGCCAACACTCGCTGGTGGCTCTTCTTTTTTATTGACTCTGGTTTTTTATTTTTAGGAAGTATTTAGTTTATACACTTAATGTTTATTGTTTATACATTACACATTTATTTATTTATATTTGTGTCTCCAAACACTAATTATTTTACTGATAGCTCTGATGAATTTGAAAGTGCTTGAGTGATATTTCTATTTCTTCTGACTCCGATGGCCCTTCACTAGATGTTAAGCTGCGGTGAATATTTCACGGATAATCCAGTTAGCTTAACCTGGTGCATATTAACGCGCAGAGTGTCCCTGCACACATTTTCGAATTAATCATGTCATTCAACAACGTCATACTTGATGGAATCTTAATTTCAGAGTCTTGGCTCAAACCGTCGTTACCGTTCCCCATTTTACCCTCAATGGGCATAAATTATATTGGAATGATAGAGTTGGTAGTGGTGGTGGTGTATGTATTTACATCAAGAACCACATCCCGTGCTCCGTCGTCAGCTGAGCCAGTCTTCTATCACTTTCACTGGGTCTTTGGAGTATCTGTTCCTGGAGGTTAGCTTACACCACACCATTCCCTTAGTAGGTGCTACTTATAGTCCTAGTATTAATGTTAACTATTCCGACTCATTTGAGACAACCCTTGAATCCATGAGTGCCTCTTACGACCATGTAATACTGATGGGTGATCTTAATACTTGTTTATTAAACAATAACTTTCGAATCTAACAATGACAAACGGCGTTACATTCATTCTTCGATGGAAGGCTTATCTACGGGTCAAACTTGGAAGTTCTTGAGATCACTTGGTCCACACCAATCACGATCTCTACCCACGTAGAGATCGTGACTTACTGTTGACTTACCTGACCTGAATTCACTCAATATAGTAAATAATTTACGAACTCACCATTTATTGTTGCCGACTCTATCAAAGCAGCCACGCTCACTATTCTGGGCTGTTACTCGACCTGATTGTGAACCTTTTTCTTTACGCGAAGTTGCTGAGCGGGAAGTTCTTCCAACTTCCAAGGCCGTAAGTGAAGATGGTATTTGCTTTGAATGCTGGTTTTCGTCCTGGTCATAGCACAGTAACTGCCTTGTTTAACGTCACCGACGATATTCACCACGCCATGGTTAACCGATTGTTAACCATTATTATTTTACTGGACTTCAGTAGTGCATTCAACTCGGTTGACTACGACATCCTTCTAGCCCTTTTCTGCTCTCTTAACATTTCCCTTGCTGCAATCGCTTGGTTTTCGGACTATCGCCGCAATCGCCATCAAAGGACCAGTAATGATGACTCCTATTCTGAGTGGTCTCCTCTGACTTCAGGGGTACCACAGGGTGGTGTACTTCTACCTCTGCTCTTCTCGCTATTTATAAATGAGCTCACTAAATTATTTTTTCCTCTACTCCAATTATATGCAAATGATTATATATATTGTATATATTGAGAAAAAAATTTATAGACATTTTGATGTAAGCAGTACCCATTCTGCCATTGAAGCTATTAATAAGGATCTTCTTATGGTGACGTCTTGGGATGATGCGTTCGGATTGCTTGTAACCCCAACGAAATCACAGATAATAATCGTGGATAGCAACAGACTTTACTGCAAGTTGAACGTTAATAATCTCCCCAAGGTTTCGTATCATGGAGTAAGTGTTGCTAATTACAGAAAGAACATGGGCCCGATAATTGATCATACACTGTCCTGGAGATCACAGGTAAGTGAGGTTAGTCGACGCATGCACTTATCACTGTCTCAAGCGGCTTCAAGTTTTCTTACATTTATTTCCCTCGTGATTTTGGATGTAATTTGCGGTTGTCGATATTTGTATTCATGGCACCCGCGATACAGGTATTCCCTAGTACGGGGTTATGAGCGTGTGCGTTACTACTTCAGAAATTAATTAGTACAGCTCTTGATTATTTATTTGTACATTTATTGAGTGGCGTGTTGACAAATGAAATCCAGCCAATAACGCATTAGTTAATAAGGGTAGGAGGGAAAAGCAAATGTGAGTAATTTTCAAGTTAGCTTCGAGTGTAGTTTTTTGGAATTTTTAATATTTCACGATAATACTCAAATACTTAAATAATAGAAATTACCACCGAAATTAGGTAGAGCAAACTAACATGAAAATAACCCATCTCTTGTTTTAAATTAATTAATAGAGGTTTTGATAATTTCTTTGTACAATTATTGGCTAGCGTCTTGACTAATGAAATTCATAATAATGTTATGTCTATTTATTAGACTAATATGATTAAATTTCGGAAGAAACATCTCGCGGCTGCTAGCGGCATACGCGACAACCACGAAGTTAGATAAATGCAAAAACAATATGTACAAAAACAGTCAATATTAATCGACTATTCTATATATTATCTTACATTACATAAGAAAAGTAAATAATAAGACACATCAATGAGGTAGTCGGCTAAAATATATATTATGTATGTACATACATATTGTTGTTGCATTTATCTAACTTCGTGGTTGTCGCGTATACCGCTAGCAGTGGTAGGTACTACCACTAATAAATCTAAGCGTCTCTGAAGTTTTCTGAAACGAGGCGGACACAAAAAATAAAACATCATTTAGGTTTCTATGTTTTTTAAAGAATATAAAGTAATTAACATACGAGTACAAGTTTAAACCTTGAAGTATCTGACAGCTGTACCTTCCCACTTGTCACAGGTGTAGGTCTGAAAAAAAATTTAAAAAAAAAAATTGTCTTATCAATAAAGATCTGTGGTCTACAAACTACGCCTAGTGGGACACCGCCAAACATACTTCAGGGAAGCAAGAGACAATATGGCCAATACCAAAAAATTTAGGGTTTTAGTGACAATTTAAAAAAGATGTTGATCATTTTTATCTAAATTACGCCGAGGGGTCGTGAAAATTACATTGTACAATAATTATTGAGTAACTGCGTAAAGTCATTAGAAAATTACCTAAGCTGCCTTCAGTGATGTAGCAGCATTTTAAGAGCCGTTATAAAACATTATTATATAATTAAAAAATATAGCCATGTCCATAATAGGTACGTACAGTAACAAGTTCGTTGTCATTGAACTCCCTTTTAACCGTGATAGTGCCTTCAGGAAACTTCAAGGCTTTAGTGAAGATGTTGCCATCCACAGTGGTCGTATATTTGGCCTGTAAGCATATTATTAATATAGTAATTTCATAAATTATTTAGAAGCAATAGAGTTTCCTGTAAATGAGTTCATAGAGGGAAGTACTGCTTCCATACCTATTTCTGCCGCAAAGCAGTAGGTAATGCGAGCATTAATGCGTTCCGATTTTGAAGGCATCCGATTCGTATACGTTCCGAACCCGAGACTACGAGACAAGATAAATCTAGAACCCGGTTCCTTCCCGGACCCACCTCCGAAGTCGCTTGGGCACTAAGTCCGATGCGAATCCGAGAAAATGCGAATATCTCTTGTACACCTAAAGATAAAATGATCCCTGTGACATTTGGGACCGTCATTTCTCGTATTCAGAACTGATATGAATCGAACGTAGAGCGCAAATGCTCGTAGGGTGATGGTAAAACTACAGGCACACACACACGCACACGCACACGCACACGCACACGC